AAGTGAGTTACTTTCCAAAGTCTAGATGGTTTTTTTTTCCTATAATGTTTTTTTATTGTCTATTTATTTCATTTTTGTTATTAATATTTTTCCTAATGTATTTTATATTTGTATTTATTTTAGGATATTTTTTCAATATTTTAACCCAGAGTCCTAATACCTCACATCTTAAATATCAAGAACACGTATTAAACAAATGATTAAGGAACATGATTAACATGAAAATACATACATATCATGTATGCACTACTGTTCATATTTGGAGTCAGTAAATTATTATTTTTTTTTAAGAAATTGAAACGTTTATTCAGCAAAAGTACAGTCAATTGATAAAACGATATGAAGACAATTGATAAATTGTCAAAAGTGACAGTGAAGACATTTATAATGTTAAAAAAATTAATTTCTTCTTTTTTCTTTATTCATCAAAAGAAAAATAATACACTTTCCACACATCAAGCAGAATATTTTCAACTAATAAGAAGAAGAAATTTTTATTAAGCATCGGATCAGCATATTAGAATGATTTCTGATCATGTGACACTGAAGACTGGAGTAATGGGTGCTGATCATTTTAAAATGTAATAAACTAGAAAACTGTTAATTTAACTGTAGTGATATTTCACAATATTACTGTTTTTGACTATTTCAGATCAAATAAACACAGCCTTGGTGAACAGAATCTTCTTTCAAAAACAAAAATCATACTGACCTTACTGAATCTTTTTGAATGGTGGTGTATGTCCAGCAACTTTAGTGTTGTATTTATATTGACTCTTGTTTTGTAGGCGATAAGAGGGAGGATAGAGAGGATGGCATCCTATTTACTAATGAAGAAGAGAAGGAACAGTGGGAGGAAGATCAGCGGGTGAGTGCTTAAACTTCATATAGTCATTTTCCTCTTTAAACGTTCTGTTTATGTTCTTAGGATTCTGAATATGTGTTCCTGGTCTTAATGTGCGTAACTCGTTAGCACATATTAATTCAAAGAAAGCTTTTTTTTTTTTTTGCTGCAAAATGTAAACAGTTTTATCTCTATATATAAAGTTGGATATATATTATATATATATAGCAGATTTCAACTTCCTGATTTTTATATTTTATATTATATACTGTATATTATCACCTAGCCCTTTACATAAAGTTATAGGATATATAAGTATGTGCATGTTTTATCCGCATACATACTTGTGTAGGCTCACATATACTATGTTCCATATCTCAGCTGCTTGATTGCTTGTATAGTCGCAATATGTGAAATATATTATCTCCCAGCTTTAATCTGCTAAATGCATGAAGATATTATAAACATTAAAATCAAGATTTTCTGTAAATCTGCTTTGAAACAATGTTTTGTGAAAGTCAATTTGATGACTAATAAATGTGTTACCAATATCCTTTTTCATTCATAAACCCATCAAATTATTAAAACCATAACAAGTTGTTATTTTAGTGAGTACTAACTGTGTTATGTCCATACAGCAAGCTGATCGAGACTGGTACATGATGGATGAAGGTTTTGATGAGTTCCATAACCCCTTGACATCCAGCTCAGAAGAATATGTCAAGAAGAGGGAGCAGATCCTACAGAAGCAGACCCAGAAACGCATCCCAGCGCAGAAACGGCAAATCAATGAGGTACCGATGCACATCCTCACCCATCTGCACCTTAAAGACCTCATCACGTCTGTCGTTCTTACAAATTCATTCATTCACTTTATTTATAGAGCACTTTACAACTGCACCTGCAGACCAAAGTGCTGTACAATAAAAAAAATAAAAAAAAAAAAAACACTTAAGTAAAACACACGACTTAAAACAACACAGATCCTACTAACAACAAAGACTAGCCCACCCTCTCAAAGGTTAAAGACAAGAAGTAGTTTTTGACTTCAACTTTAAAAACATTCAAAGATGAGACTTCTCTAAGTTCCTGAGGAAGACTATTCCAGAGCTTCGGCCCCGCAACAGCAAAGGCCTGATCCCCTTTTAACTTTAAATGAGTACGAGGGACAGTAAGCAATAACTTATTATTGGATCTTAGAGACCTAGGTGCTTGACGAACAGCAACGAGCTCAGACACGTAAGCAGGGGCCAACCCATGCACTGCTTTAAAAACATACAGAAGAGTTTTATATTTTATCCTGTAGTTCACTGGTAGCCACTTGAGAGAAGCTAAAATAGGAGAGATATGATGACTTTTCTTAGCACCCACTAGCAGCCTAGCTGCTGCATTCTGAACTAATTGCAAGCGTGAGATAGTGGTCTGACAGGACTCCACATACAACACATTGCAATAATCCAAACGAGACAAAACAAAGGCATTAATAACCTTCTCTAAGTCTTTTCTTGACACAATAGGCTTTAGTCGAGCGATAGACCTAATCTGGAAAAAGCAAGTCTTTACTACAGCATTAATCTGCTTGTCAAATTTCAATCAACAGCTCATCTGGGCCCACAGAAGGAGAAGGAGACTCAATCACATTCACAAATGAAGAGGAATTATATACCTCAGAAAATTCTACCGCCGTGGATGAAGTAATAAGACGAGAACAAAACACACCTGAACAAAACACACCTGACTGTGGCAAAACTGGTTTGCATGGCATAATAACATTAAAAATTACAGGCATGTGATCAGACAGACCATAATTTAAAACATCGACATTACAAATAGGAAGGCCCAGAGATAAGACCAAGTCCAAAATATGGCCTTGCTCATGGGTTGGATTTGAAATAAACTGCGTGAAATTAAAAGAGTCCACCAGCTGTAAAAACTCAGGGACCATAGGCTTATTTGGACAACACACGTGAATATTGAAGTCCCCAAGAATTAAAATGTTATCACAACTCGGTACAATATGTGATAAAAACTCTGAAAACTGCTGAATGAAATCCTTATTATATTTCGGTGGTCTGTAGACCAACACACACAGAACAGATTTCCAGCCGTCATACATCATCACTTGAGCCTCAAAGCTCTGATAGTTCACCTTTGACAAAAGACGGCATTTAAATCCCTTCTTAAAAACACATGCAAGTCCGCCACCCCGGCCAGTAGTTCTAGGGGTGCTAAAAAATGTACAGTCATATGGAGAAAGTTCAATCAGGGCGTGTGTGTCGCCAACATTAAGCCATGTTTCAGAAATAAACAGAAAGTCCAAATCATGTTGTATAAAAAAGTCATTTAAAATAAACGTTTTGTTTAAGAGTGATCTTGCATTAACCAATGCCATATTTACTGTACCAGACTCCAGCGTAGACAATGACGCTCCAACCGAGACCACAGCCGACTCGATGTAACACAAATTGTTAATATTTACTCCTCTCGAAACTTTGTGTCGCTGAGTCACAGCCCGCAACGATGGTATCCAAAAGTCCGGGCAAACTGGACGCAAGCAAGAGAGTCTCTCACTCGAAAAGTCTCCTGAAGTCAACAGGCGTCTCTCCGACATCCATGACGCTCTAGCTTTAACAGCGAAGCCCGCCCGTCTGCCACGCTTCCGACGGTTCGCCGGTACCCACACTCTAGACCGAGCCAAGTTTCCACTGACATAGACGGCATGAATCGCGGGTGAAAACAACACTTTCCACTCCGAGTGAGATCGTCCATCACTGCACGAATGTGAAGCAAAGTTTTGCAATCATAAGTCCAGAGAGAGTAGTTAGGGCTAATAAGACATACGAATAAAACAAAAAACATTAAAATAGACAACACAGAACGACGGCCAGCCAACACACACCGCGCCATCTTCCTTATTTGACCTGATTCAAAAACTGTGAGTTGAAAGGATGCGACTGGTCATCCGCTTACATGCATGGAAATCTTACTGACTTCTAACAAAAAAAGAGAGAGAGGAGAAAAAAAAAAAAAGAGATACACTAATACAGTGATGAGAAAAATAAAGTAGTTCATAAGCTGTATTTGTGTTTCTCTTCAGGATAACGAACGCTGGGAGACCAACCGCATGCTCACCAGTGGAGTGGTTCAGCGTTTGGAGGTGGATGAGGACTTTGAGGAAGACAATGCAACCAGAGTCCATCTGCTTGTCCATAACCTCGTGCCACCCTTCCTGGACGGGAGGATAGTCTTCACGAAGCAGGTACAGATGTCTCTAAGCATGAGTGTGCTTATTTGTGAGTCACCAAACTTGTGAGTCTTTAATTGATGATTTTGCATTTGATTCCAGCCTGAGCCGGTCATTCCAGTGAAAGACGCGACCTCAGACATGGCCATCATCTCCCGCAAGGGCAGTCAGCTGGTCCGACGACACCGAGAGCAGAAAGAAAGAAAGAAGGTGCACATCTGGTTTTCATGTTTCATTTACACTCCGCTTACTTCAGGGCAGTAGTGTAGATGTAATTGTTGTTGCGTTTGGTTGTTTCACCTGACAGGCACAACACAAACACTGGGAGCTCGCTGGCACCAAACTGGGAGACATCATGGGAATCAAGAAAACCGAGGAGGATGGATCAGATGGAAAAGCTGTTGGAGAAGATGGAAATGTGGATTACAGGTAGAAATAATGTCACTCATATCATATCATTTCCTGATTCCATCTATTTTTAAATAGTACAAAATATTACAAAATTATTTCACTGTATGTCTCTTATGGGACAAACGTTTAGATTCATTCCCTCTTGTAGACACACTTGGTCATGATCTACATGATGCATGGCAAAGTGTCATTACTACTGTTCAAAAGTTTGGGGTCAGTAAGATATTTTGTGAAAGAAATTAATGCTTTTATTTCGCAAGGATGCCGTAAATTGATCAAAAGTGACAGTAAAAACATTTATAATGTTGCAAAACATTTCTATTTCTAATAAATGCTGTTCCTTTTGAACTTTCTATTCTTTAAAGAATCCTGAAAAATAAAATGTATCATGATTTCCACAAAAATATTAAGCAGCACAACTGTTTTCAACATTGATAATAATCAGAAATGTTTCTTGATCAGCAAATCAGAATATTAGAATGATTTCTGAAGGATCATGTGACACTGAAGACTGGAGTAATGATGCTGAAAATTCACAAGAGTAAATGACCTTTTTAAAATATATTACTGTAGAAAACAGTTTGAAATTGTAATAATATTTCACAAAATCACAGGTTTTACTGATCAATTAAATTTTTTTTATGGCTTATACTTTAGGAGACTTCTTGCAAAAAACATTTGAAAAATCTTTTAACTCTTTCCCCGCTAGCATTTTTGAAAAAAGTTGCCAGCCACCGCCAGCGATTTTGATGATTTTCACTAAAATTTGATGGCCTCCAGAATATTTTGCTGTATGAATATTTGAATAGGCCAAAATAAAGATCAGAGCCTCTACTTTTAAACAAAAAAAATCAGTTTTATTCTAGCTTAAAGCATTCTTTTTTTATCAACACTTGAATATAGGTAGGTTTCATAAAAATGCATAATGTTGAGCAAAAAGGTGAGAAAATCACATTTTTATCAAAAACTACATCAGTACGATATTCAGTACGATTATCAAAGCAGAAATCCAGTAAATCGCTTCTATCAACACCTCCAAAGCTTGCACAGACATATACCACTTCCTGGATCAACATTTTTTTCTCCTTAACATTACGCAGTTTTCATTTATATGCTGTCTATTGCTGATGATCGCATTATTTTTCATATGCATCTGTTTACATAATAGATCACTCGTTTCTCCGTCCTGTACACGTGTTTTTGTTCGGGAGGGTTTGTACTCGTTCAGAAGATGTGTAATAGCACCCCCTAGTGTATAACAGTGAAAACACGAAAAGCCGTAAAAACTCGTCTTTGGCGGGGAAGCGTTGTCTTCTAAAAGACGAGATAACTCGTCAATGAGTTATCTCGTCTCGAAATGGGGAAAGAGTTAAACGGTAGTGTAGGTATATTTTATATATTTGATATCAAGCATGTAGTTTTCCCAGCTCTGCTTGGCATATTTTAGCATGTTTAAATTCATTCCACAGAATTCTGCAGTTCTTTCCTACAAAATCAGCTCTTAAATTGAAAAATCTTCTCTGTTGATTCTTCATGGGCCTCTTTCTTATCTTTCATGTTTTCAGAGCGGAGCAGAAGTTTGCTGACCACATGAAGGAGAAGAATGAAGCGAGCAGTGAGTTTGCTAAGAAGAAGACTCTATTACAGCAGAGGCAGTATCTGCCCATCTTTGCTGTTCGCCAGCAGCTGCTCAACATCATCAGGTCCTGATGACACTTACATATGCTTCGTTAAATACAAACTCTGCCACTAAATTCGTGAGCTCATGATATAAAAATATTTTAGCTCAGCTAGTTGCCAAGGCAATATTTCTAATTTTCTTTTAGTTTAAGTTCTAAAGTAACTAAAAATAAAACTAAAATTAATAAAAACTATGTAGATATATTTTAAAAAAATTACCTAAAATAACACTGATGTAAATATAAATAAACTGTTTAGAAAGGATAAGTTGCTATTATATGTTAATAAAGTAATGGCATTGTTGGTTTCTAGATTTTGATTAGCATCCATGAATTAACCAAATAAGTATTTATTGTAATATAATTGTAATATATTTAAATTGTGTAATTTTAGAATTTTATATATAAATTGTAAAATATTCTATGTATATACTATGTATATGTTGATTTCTGAAGGATCATGTGACGCTGAAGACTGGAATAATGGAGTCACAGGAATAACATACATTTTTAAAATAATGCAAGTAGAAAAAAGTTATTTTAAACCGTAATAATATTTCAAAATATTACTGTTTTTGCTGTAATTTTATTCAAATAAATACAGCCTTGTTTCTTGAGCACCAAATCAGCATATTAAGAATGTTTTCTGAAGGATCATGTGTCACTGAAGACTGGAGTAATGATGCTAAAAATTCAGCTTTGCCATGACAGAAATAAATTCCATTTAAAAATGTAAAAAAACATTTTATTTAAAGATGATTTTTTTCATGGCTAAGGGGTTTTATTGCTTTAATGTTTACACCAGGTTGGTTATGCCATCCGTTTTGAAGACTGTACATCAGAGAAGACTGTAATAAAATACCTTTGTGTTTTCTCTGGCAGGGATAACAATATTGTGATTGTGGTGGGGGAAACGGGCAGTGGTAAGACGACTCAGCTGACGCAGTATCTACATGAGGATGGTTACACCAGCTATGGCATGGTGGGCTGCACACAGCCCCGAAGAGTGGCAGCCATGAGCGTGGCCAAGAGAGTCAGCGAAGAAATGAACAGTAACCTGGGAGAAGAGGTTGGTGCCCAACATCTTATGGACCTGGACCAATTATCTCTACATTTATTTGACAAAATATATTGATGTTATGGAGACATACTACCACCTAGTGAATGTGCATATTATTTTACCCAGAAGGCAATACTGAGAGGATGATGCAGTGGAATAATGTAAATCAGAGCTAAAACCATAAATCTGTTATTTATCTGTTATTTGTTATATAAACTCATGGCTAAGGGGTTTTATTGCTTTAATGTTTACACCAGGTTGGTTATGCCATCCGTTTTGAAGACTGTACATCAGAGAAGACTGTAATAAAATACATGACGGATGGGATTCTTCTGAGGGAATCTCTGCGGGAGTCAGATCTGGACCACTATAGCGCGGTAATCATGGACGAGGCCCATGAGCGCTCCCTCAACACTGATGTGCTCTTCGGGCTGCTTCGAGAGGTGAGCGTTGTCTCTAGCTTCACACGACTTCATAGGATTGAATGGCAAACTGTTTTCATCATAGTCAATTTATTTGGTTTTCATGCACTAAATTTGATTGTTGCTTATATGGATAGTTAAAGACTACTGTTGAATTTAGAGTTTGATACTGATGAGTCATCTTCTCCCTTCTTCATTTTATCAACCTGGCTTTTTGATTACTTAGGTGGTGTCTAGACGCTCGGACTTGAAGCTCATTGTCACATCTGCCACCATGGACTCGGACAAATTTGCAGCATTCTTCGGCAATGTACCTATTTTCCACATTCCCGGCAGGACGTTCCCAGTGGATATCTTGTTCAGCAAGGTGGGGTGTTAATCGCATCTTCAGTTAAAGCTGAAGCTGGTTGGGGTGCTGTACTGACGCTGAGTGTTGGTGTGATTCAGGTTCCTCAGGAGGACTATGTGGAGGCGGCTGTGAAACAGTCCTTACAGATTCATCTCAGCGGGATGGTGGGTGACATCCTCATCTTCATGCCTGGTCAGGAGGACATTGAGGTGAGGAGATTCTTTAGTCATGCAAATGATGTTGTGAGTGGAATCACAATTTATATACACTATTAATAATACACTACCGTTTCCCAAATTGTTAGCTAACTATGGTTGCAGGTTCCATTGAACTCTATTGGTAATGACAGAACTTGTGAACATAGTTGCTTGTGGGAAACGCACCCCAGGTTAGGTTTGGGGTCGGCAAGATTTTTAATGTTTTTGAAAGAAGTCTCATGCTCACCAAGACTGTTTTTATTCAACAAAAATACAGTAAAACAGAAATGTTGTGAATTATTACAATTTAATGTAATTTTTTAAAATGTATTTTAAACAACATTTATTCCTGTGATGGTAAAGCTGAATTTTCAGCATCTTTACCCCAGTCTTCAGTGTTACATGATCCTTCAGAAATCATTCTGATATGCTGATTTGGTGCCAAAGAAACATTTCTCATTATCAATGTTTAGTTTTTGCTGCTTTAATTTTTCATGAGGCATCTTTTTCAGGATTCTTTGATGAATAGAAAATTCAAAAGGAAAGCATTTGATAAATGCATTTACTGTCACCTTTTATCAGTTTGATGCATTCTTGCTGAATGAAAGTATTAATTTTCTTTTCATATATATATATATATATATGTATGTGTGTGTGTGTGTGTGTTTGTGTATAGATAGATAGATAGAAGTTTGTGATCACAAGTGATGTTTGTGCTGCTGCAGGTGACGTCAGATCAGATTGTGGAGCGACTGGAGGATCTAGAGAACGCTCCGGCCCTGGCAGTGCTGCCCATCTACTCCCAACTGCCCTCTGACCTGCAGGCCAAGATCTTCCAGAAGGTAAACTTCTGTTACTGTTGGATACTCTTAAGATCCTGATCATGAGACAAAAAGCATTAGAGGTTTGTGAACTGAACTTGTGTGTTTTTGTCAGGCTCCTGATGGAGTGAGGAAGTGTATTGTCGCTACAAACATCGCTGAGACGTCTCTGACCGTGGACGGCATCATGTTTGTGGTGGATGCTGGTTACTGCAAACTGAAGGTAAAACCAAATGAAACTGCTTTCTTTAATAGGGGAATGGCACAGCTGATACTAACAGTATTATTACTTTGTGTTGTTTAGGTGTTCAATCCCCGTATTGGCATGGATGCGCTGCAGGTTTACCCCATCAGTCAAGCCAATGCAAACCAGCGGGCTGGAAGAGCAGGAAGAACAGGCCCGGGACAGTGTTACAGGTAAGAATAGATCAGGAAAGCGGCAAACAAAGTTTGACAATGGCAAAGTTTATAGTGGGTCTAAGTCAGAATTTAATGTCCATGGAATGATTCTGTGTAAAATAAGTGATTTAGTGAATTAAGAATCTCAGTTGAGAATTGAGAGTCCCTCTTCATCATCAGATTGCTAAACAACCCATTTATTTATTTATTTGTAATTTTAGTACTTCAAGTTAAACTAAATGAAAATGAGAAATGTTTTCTTGGCAACTAGCTGAAATAAAATAAGTCATTTTTAAAATGATTTAATTGTAGTTATTTTATTTATTTGTATTTACGTTTTTATTTATTAACGTTTATGTTGTAATATTATTATAAAAATCATGTTACCACAAAAAAAGTGAAATATAAAATGCTCTGCAGTGCCTTTTTGTTATTTCAAAAGGCAGAGGAAATTAAAGTCACAATAAAATGAAGTAGTGATGAATCCTTTCGTTTGTATTGTGACGTACATCCAAGTATGACAGATTTTTGGAAAATAAATAATGTAGAGCGGGGACTTGGTTCTATCCATGAATTGTTCATTGGATTTTGAGATGTGGGCATTTCACTCAAAGTAGAAAACAGATGAACGTGAGCTTGCACAGCAGGTTTAAATGAACTAAATGATAGGAGAAGTCCTGCATACGTCACCAGAGAGAAGTCTGTCCTTTACACTGGAAGATCCAGTTAAGATATTTTGATGATAAATTCAGAGGTTAAAAAAAGAAAGAAAGGAAAAGTAAAACACATGCATGGTTATATTTTTATTTCACGACAACTTTATGGCAAAACTTGAATGATGAAACAGTAAGTCATATTTTTTTTTGATCCGGTACTTTGGAACGAATTATTCAAAAAAGTGAATCACTCACCGTCACAGTCTCTGTAGTGTAAATACAGACTCTGTTCATCTGCCTGTATGAGCAAAGAGAGACCAGTGTGTTCATGAGCTTTCGTCAGATCACCAGTCCCTCTTTTCTGAAACATCTATCAGTGAGGCAGGAGGGGGATGGGACGGGACGATGATCTTGAGAGGATTTCACGCAGTTTAATTTTTGTTTGCACCTCTGAGAATGTGAGACAAAGGCTCCTGTGGGCTTTTTGACTGTGACCTTTCTCAAATCTGTACAGACGCGGAGATGCGGCGACACGCTGTCTCGCTGTTGTGCGGTCACACAAAGGAAACTCACACAAGGGGGTTGTTTTGCCTCCCTGTGAGTGTCTCTGGCTGCTTGTGAAAGTGTGGGGCCCATGACAGATTAGTTACATATATCCTTTAACAAACATCTGTGCATCAAGAATCAATTCTGTTCAGCCAGGTGCTTTTTGCGTGTTGAATCCATAACTCAAAAGCTCTGACTGTGATTGCGGCATCTCCACAAGAGCTAGACTGAAATGCATAAATGCATATGTTGTACTACAGAGCTTCCCGGAGTTCCTTCTTCACGCCATCTTCTGAGGGATTATCCATTTAGTTGAATAGCTGCAGAAATCTGCTGTTCTCTCAGATCTTTCTCTATGGAGTGATGAGGTGAGCTGTGATATTTTAAGATGCTCCGAGGTAGTTTGGAAATTGCTCATTGTTATGGGCTTTCATCTAGATCTTCTAAAGGTGGGAGGTAGAAAACTTTGTAGTGGTGTGCTACATTGATCTGTTTGATTAACTTCTCAAGTCTTCATTTGGACCTTTTGCATTAAATATGCTTAGTCGGTTTCCTTTCTAGACATCTCGCCCACTTGTCTTTATTTTATTCCATTACTTTAAAAAACAAATAATTTGAGAACCATTCCTGACTTGTTTGTGAAAATGATGCTTCATCAAATGGCCAAAAATTGCAACAATATTAAAATATTAATTTATTTCAGTATTATGTATATGCTATTGTAGTATTTATTAATATTTTCAATTAGGGCTATCAAAGCCATTAATCCTGATTAATCACATCCAAATATATAAAAACGCATATAAATATACACAGTACACACACATATTATGTCAACAAACTTTTATTTTGGATGTGATTAATTGTGATTAATCGTGATTAATCGATTTGACAGCCCTATTTTGAATTTGCTTTTATTTTTAGATTTTCAGTTTTTGTTTTAATTTAAATCGTCTTTGTCATATTTATTAGTTTTTTTTGTCATAGTTCTATGTACAGTAGCTTTAATTTATTTTTATATCCATTTTAGTCATTTTAGTACTTCAACTTATTTAATTTGTTAGTTGCTACATATGAAATTAATATTTATTTGTTTGTTTGGAATAATAAAGATTTGTGAATGTTTTTGTAAGAAGTCTCTTATGCTCGCCAGTACAGTAAAAACTAATATTGCGATTATATTGAGAATTACACATTTAAACCACTCTCTACAGAGCTCTCTACAATGTGTAAGCACCCTAACAAGAAATGTATCACTCGCCACTGTATCACATTGTGTCTGGCTTGGACATGTAATGTTTACAGAAAATCAATTGACCTTTTTTTTTTTTACCTTTGTGTCGGTTCACTTCAGGTTATACACTCAGAGTGCCTTCAAGAATGAAATGCTCACCACCACTATCCCAGAGATCCAGCGCACTAACCTGGCCAATGTTGTGCTTCTGCTCAAGTCACTGGGAGTTCAAGATCTCCTGCTCTTCCACTTCATGGACCCGCCGCCTGAAGACAACATGCTGAACTCCATGTACCAGCTGTGGATCTTGGGAGCGCTTGACAACACAGGTGAGACTACCAGCTTCAGACACTGCCCTGAGAAAGAGAATCAGCGTAAGACCATTTAAATCTTTGATTTATTTAAATTTTATTTTGGGTGTCATTTAAAGTGAAATAGAATCTTTCAAGTCAACAAGAAAATCAAAATGGTTAATTCTTAGTTTTTATGGAATATTGGAGTATTTGTTATAAATAATTTATCCATGCATGTAATTTTTAATCAAAAGCATTAACCGTAATGGCCAGACAAGTTTCAGTGCTTCCCTTCCATCAACCTGTCACTCACATGATTGTCAATTTTGCAACGCCCACTTTCTATGATCCAATCAGTTCCCAATGGACAAAATTAAGTCCTAGCCCTACATGTTTTTATTTCTCTTTCGATGAGACTTTCACTCATTTATACGGCACAATAGGGGAAAATTGTTCAATTGACATTTCATGCTGACTTTAATGTTGTTGTTTTTTTTCAGTAATTGTTGCACATGCTTTTCGTATAGTTTTTGTGTTATTGGGTAATTATTGTATTTCACTGTATTATTTCAATGTGTATTGTCAGCAACAATGTCTAATATTCTGCGTTCTGTGTGTTAGCTAAAACTTTAACCACAAATAAACGTGTTCATTGTTTGAAATAAAAATAAACATTATCTGAAATAAAATCAAATATAAAAACATTAAACTTATTTCAGTTGCCAAGGCAACATTTCTCATTTTCTTTAGTTTTAAGTTGTAGTACTAAAATAACGAAAACTAAATATAGACATATATTTATAATGTATATTTATAAATAATAAAAATGACAAAAACAGCCTTTAATTCAAATGTAAAAAATGAAATGTAATGAAAATTAAAAAAGTAAAATATAAAAATATCTCATCTAATCCAAATGTTAGGAAAAAATATAATAGTATATCAGTGATAGTAAAATAACACTTGCTTCTGATATATTCACTAGACATAACTGTCTAGTGAATAACTGATGACTGATGGTAGTGACATTATTTTTATTTCGGGAGAAATCTCTTTTGAGTTCTTTGAGTTCCACTCAAGTGTATCTTCTAGTTGGGTAGATTGAAGCTTGTTAAGCGCTGCAGTGAAGTATTAAGGTCTTACTCAAAGTTCAGCTTTAGCAACTGAAGTAAAACTGTCTGTGTGACCAGAGAGGGATCTCAATCTCATTTCCTGCAGATCTCTCGGGGTTTGTGGGGATTTGACTATGTGGTGCACTTTTCCCTCTAGCTCTCGTCTCGTGCTAACAGCAGATTATTTCTGATTAAGGCTTACATGCCCAAATATCTGCTCTGCTTTTCACGGTGCTCTCTCACTAATCTTCTTAGTCTGTCATGTAATCTTTGAAATCTGAGCTTCTGAAAAAGTTTGATCGGAATTTCAAAGTGGAATCATTTTCCCACCATCAGCACTTTTGAAAGAGGAGCATTCCCTTTTGACTTTTTCCCCTGTATTTGAGGATGGTTTCTTCTCGTCTCTGTCTCAGGCGCTCTGACGCCCACCGGGCGGCTCATGGTGGAGTTTCCTCTGGATCCGGCTCTGTCTAAAATGCTGATCGTGTCATGTGACATGGGCTGCAGTGCCGACATTCTCATCATCGTCTCGATGTTGTCTGTGCCGTCAATCTTCTACCGACCAAAGGTACCAAGTATACATTGGTGAAGTATGTTTCCCTTGTACCTCACACACCAGAAAGCTGAGTGTGTGACCTGTAAAAGTGCTGTACATCCGGGTGCTGCTGTTTTCTAACTGTTCAAAACTGCTGTTACTCATCTAGGGTCGAGAGGAGGAGAGTGACCAGGTGAGAGAGAAGTTCTCGGTGCCTGAGAGTGATCACCTGACCTACCTCAACGTTTACCTGCAGTGGAAGAACAACAATTACTCCAGCATCTGGTGTAACGATCACTTCATCCACACCAAAGCTATGAGAAAGGTACGTTAACTTGAGGCGTCACTCTTAATCAAATTCATTTATTACAGGGGGGCAATATCATTCTTTTTGTTATTTTTTTCCCCCTGTAGTCCACATAGACTGGTAGCCAAAATTGTTTAGCATTAAAAACTCTCGACGTCTCTGACCATTACAGCTAAATGTGCATTTTTTTACTGCTGTACCATTTAAAGGGGTCATATGATGTTGCTAAAAAGAACATTATTTTGTGTATTTGGTGTAATGAAATGTTTATCCTGAAAAAATGTCAACTCTACACTGCTCAAAACTCACGTTTGAATCGTCAGTGGCAAATCCTTTAAATATGAAAACATACTTACAGTCTGTGAGTCAGAAAAGCCGGCATTGTAGTCTACTCTCCCAGGATCAGGAAACAGTCCTCCATAAAATGTGCTGCACACATCTGAATATTTGGGTTGAAGCGTTCTGGAACAGTGTTGTAAATACAACTTCACCTCTGATTTCCTTCTTTATGCACCAAGAGCTTGTAACACTCCAAAGAGAAAGGAAAAATTTAAATCGCATCATATGACCCCTTTAGGGCTGCGTTTACACTGCAAGTCTTAATGCACAGATCCGATATTTTGACCATATCCGTTTTTTTGGCACTTCTGTTTACATTCACTTTAGACACGACTGGTATCCGATATCTGTGTTTATTCATTAATTCCCACCCAAAAGGATTGTCTGCAGTGATCGCTTTATTATGCACATGGTAGACCCTCGGGTTTTAAATGGCCGTACTTTTAAAATTATTTATATAATTCACGTCGAATGCCCATTATTATTTGCCAGTATGGACAACGGCTGTCATGGATGTTGTGCAGCACAAAATCTGACTGAACGGATAAAGACCGGAAAATAATGGTAATTTTAATTTGTTAGACTATTTTATCTACAGCTCATTAGAGGTAGAATTCTTTAGTGAAATAAAGATGATATTTATTGAAATTAATTCGAATTAAGGAGAGAGAGAGAGAGAGAACTAACGAACGAACGCATGCACCCACGAGCGAGCGATTGTGAAGCATTGCAAACAAGCTTGTCAGTTTAATTACAAAAACTGCCAAGTTATCACCTCATTGCTGAGAAATATATGTAGCTTTTAGCTGTTGTATTTTCAAAATTCACGGGGCGGGGGTTGAAAACCAGCTCCTGAATGTGCAATTTCTTACCTATAAAAAGTTTCCATCTCAATAAAATGCGAGCGCATGCAGCACGCCGGTATTAAAACGCCATTAAAAATCTTTGAGCAAACGTGTCAAAAAATACCGTGATATAAATTTTTGGTCATACCACCCAGCACTAGGTCAAAATAACAAACAAAACAAATATAAAAAACCTAATCAGAAGAAAACAAAAAATACAAAGGAACTTTCCTAACTCCCTACTAAATAAACAATTCAAAAGCGAAGTCAAAATAAATGGCAGGACACCCCTACGCTCCTAAATCATAGTTAAGAGTCTTAAGTATCATCACAATCAAAAGCATGGTCCAGTTACAACAATATACTGATAACAAAGTTTTGGGATCTGTCGATGGGAGGAGGAACGAGGAGCTCCTCACGCCAAAAGGCCAACGCCAGAATGAGCTCTCCATCTTCAAAATGCGCCGCTGTTTAAAGCAGAGCGTCAGCAGGTTCAGTCACATTCCTCCGTCAACAGCCAATCCCTGCACTCATAGACAAAAGCACAACCCACACAGGAACACAGATGCCAACCATGAAACAACATACAGAACTACCAAATTTTGCTATAAGTTTGCATCATATAATAATTGCTGTTAATAGTGTTCATCGTCTGTTTGATTACGTCTTTAATTGATTACATCTTTAATTGATTTTTCCGTACATTTCTGCCATATGTACATTAACTGACAGTCACCACTGATAAGCTACCACTAAATATTGTAGAAACTTAATTTGCTGTAAAGTTGCTTTGCAACGATTTGTATCGTGAAAAGCGCTATACAAATAAACTTGAATTGAATAGATGCCAAGGAGTGTAACATTATTTAGCTTAAACAGTCTTTTCTATTTTAATATCTATATGCTGAATGATCAGTGTTGAAGTTTTTGCTGCTTAATACATTTGTGGAAACCGTGATACACTACCATTCAAAACGTTGTGGTCAGAATTTTTTTTTTTTGTTTGTTTTTTGTAATAAATGCTGTTTTTCTGAACTTTCTATTCATCTGAGAATCCTGAAAAAATGTCTACAAGAATATTAAGCAGCAAAAACATGTTCTCAACTTTGATAATAATATGAAACGTTTCTTCACTGAAGACTGGAGTAATGATGCTGAAAATTCAGCTTTGCATCACAGGAAAAAATTACGATTTAAAATATATGAAAGTATTTCTTTTAAATTGTATTAATATTTCACAAAATTACTCTTTTTACTGTTTATGTATGTGTATTTATGTATGTTTGTGGGCATATATGTCCACATTTATGAATAAAAATCGCTAAAATGGTTTGAAACTTTTTGAAAAATAGAGTGAAAACTAGATTTAAAATGAACTAGGCATGTTTTACACTGTTATTCATACAAGGAACATTTTTTCATATATATATATATACACACAAATATTTGAATTCATGGTAATATACATGTTACATTCATGCTGAAAGTTTTTTTTTTTATTGGTACAAACAATTGAATATAAGCGTTGAATCAATTTCGAATCAGCACTATCATCTTGTTTGCTTCTGAATAAAAAGCACATTAAAATCTTCATGATATTAATGATGTTGACAACTTTTATACTGCTAACAACATATTAAAGCAATAAGCCTCAAGAAGCCATAGTTTACAGTGAATTTATAACAGCTAAGGGGCGTTGTTAGGCATGACGCGAAGCGGAGTACCCCCGAAGCTGTTATAAATTCACTGTAAACCACGGCTTCATGGGGCTTAAAACAAAGCTAATAAAATGTAACGATATTGATAAAATCTTCCTTCTTCCACCAAACAATGTAGTTCCTCAGAAACAGTTGTGGTTCCAACAAAGTGGTTGCCGCACAGAAGTAAACAGAGGTGTATGTTTGTAGAGTAATTTACAACAGCTTCGAATGCGGCTCAACCAATCAGAATCAAGGACCGGAACTATCCGTTTTATAATATTCATTATAGTGTGAATATCCCATCCCCAAATGCTAGTGAAGAGTGATTTGTTGACACGTATGTGTGTTTGTGTTTCAGGAGTACATGCAGTGTGTGACGGCTGTGGACGGCGAGTGGCTGGCTGAGCTGGGGCCCATGTTCTACAGTATCAAACATGCAGGAAAGAGCAGACAGGTGAGCAACATCCTTCCTGAATATCACACCCAACACTTATGGTACATATTTGTCTCTTTCGTCTCACTCACTTTTGGTCCCTCTTTCAGGAGAACCGAAAGAGAGCCAAGGAGGAGATCACCAACATGGAGGAGGAGATGTCTCTTGCACAAGAACAGATCCGTGCACGGAAAGAGGAGCAGGAGAGGAAGAGCAATCTGGGCAGCGTCAGGTACTTCAGCCATCTTCCTCACAAATACTGCTGTCACTCAGGGTTTAGAGCGACTGCTCGCACTCTCACGAAATCTGAATCATCCTATTTAGAAGGAAGCCATCAAATGGCTGCCGTGCTGAAATACTAATGTCGCAATTTTTAGGAAGACTATTATCCCCTTCACACCCTCCCCTGCCTCCATCTTCCTCATCTCTTTCCTAACGTCTCCTTGTCTTCCACATGATGAGCTTTTCTCACCTCCCGTCTCCACAGGAGAGAAAAAGAAATAATATTGACTCCTGGCTGACCCCCATTACTGTAGCAATATAAATTGTGCCGCCACAGACGGGGAGAAGAGGGACAGACGCTAATTTTTTTAGGCTAATCCGGGAAATTAATTTTACACACACCTGTCTGCTCCACAAAAGCGATAAATGTGTCCTTTAACATAACACTTCATTAATTAATCAGGACTTTTATCTCTGAATCAAAGCCTTCGGCTGACTGTCTGCATGATGGACGTCCTGACAATAATCACATTAAAAGTGGAGATTAGACTTTTGATTTGCATGATGGGGAGATGGATAATTAAGGGAGGCCCCTCTTGGGCTCTGATGCCTTCATGGGGTTTTAAATAAGCTGATAGGAAGACGCTGGCTGATCTAAAATCAGATCTTTTCACCTGACCTGAATCCTGCAGGACCCACAGGTCACTTACAAGACATTTGACATTTCTTCTGAAGAAAATGCTTTGAAAATCACTGCCATAAAGCGCTATGAAGTCGTGCTTGGTTGCCAGGGCGTTGATGTGCGGTTGCTAAGGAGTTAAGACCTTGCTTTTTTTATTTGTTCCAGTGCTCTGAGACTGAGTTTAGCATTTTTACACGCAAAGACGCATTCTGTTTGAATGCTTACTGGCCCTCTATTAGATCTATTCTCTCTTTCAATGTATCTTTCTTTTCTTTTTCTTCTTTTTTTCTGGCCTGTTTTATTTGTCTACCAGACAGAAATTTAAGTTCTGGTCTTTAAGTAATGTAATGCATACATGCCTCAAGCCACACAATTTGAGGAATCATTCATGTACAGACAAACAATGAAGGACACGAGATTTGTCAAAGTTTAAAGAGATAGTTCACCCAAAAATGAAAATTTGATAAAAATGTACTCACCCCCAGGCCATCCTATATGTCGATAAGCTTTACAAGAAATTTAGCATTACATCACTTGCTCACCAGTGAATGGGTGCCGTGTGTGTAATAAACAAGTCCATTAAGACTTCAAACCATTGCTTCCAGTGTAGATTTTTATGAATCAAAATATGAATTAATCAAGCATAATCAATCTGAATATAACATACATATATATATTATCAGCTGTTTGGACTTTCCTTCTGACGGCACCCATTCACTGCAGAGGATCCATTGGTGAGCAAGTGACGTAATGCTAAATTTCTCTAAATCTGTGAAGATGAAGAAACAAACTCATCTACATTTAATGGCCTATTAAACTATTCCTTTAATACTGCAACCGCAAAGCAACATGCTGAAAAACACACAAAATAATGTGAAAATGGAGAAGTGATCCTCTGCAAAAACTTAAAACACCATATCACCATGCCAGAGAGTTCTGCAACTCACATTTTCTTCATAAAATGTAATTGGAATGTTCGTTAGGAAAAAAAAAAAGTATGAAACTAGCTAAAAGTTCAAATGTTCGGATGGCAGGCAGCAGAAAGTGAAGTGACGGAGGTGTGAGCTGAGTCTGTGCTGGAGGAGCAGGAGGGTCATGGCCTGATGGATGTAATTGCTGGCGGTGTGAGGAGGGGAGCGCTGTGCACCGCTGTAATTAAAGATGATAGATCGCCCTGTCAGCTGCATCAGACTCGCATCCCGCAGGTCCCCACAAAGACAAACTGTCCTTTTCTCTCTGCTCGAAGTTCCTGTCACCGCTCTGTCTGTTCTTCTCATTTAACCTTAGAGCAAATCTCACAACTTCTGATGCGTGGCACATTACAGTCACACACACAAGCTTTCTATTTAAATTAACATCCTGACATAAACATGTCTTTTCATCATTTCCAAACAGGTCAATAAAGATCTTCACCCCTGGAAGGAGAGAGGAAGCGCCCATGACACCAAAACGAACACCGGCCCGATTTGGCTTATAGTGCTTGTATCTGCAATTTCAGGCAGATAGTATTGCAAATATGATGTTGCTTCAGTCAGTGCAGTTTTATTAAATATGATCATCGCAGTGCTTGGCACATGCAGCTTCCAGGTTTGTCCAACAGTAGGAGCAATTGTATAAGGAGAACATTTCTAGCCATCATCTCTTCCCCTCAGTTAAAGTGTTATTTGTGACTGTTTTAGACGGTCCAAAAAATGGATGCTAGTACTGCATTCAATCAACGTTTGGCCAAATTCAAAAACAAACACATTTGTCGTTCTTATATTTGAATGCACTTGAACTAAAGAAAAAAAAAATCAGCTTTATTTGACATTATAAATATACTTAGCCCAACGACAGGCTTTTTTTGTTTTTTTTTATGCTTGAATGTTTGTGTACGCTAGAACAGTAGAATTTATTCATGCCCTGCTGTAATATTCACTTTACCATTGAATTATAATTCACATTCTCTCATATTTCAGCTTGTGAAATGCAGCTGTTGTATCATTCTTTCAGAGAACACAGAGCATCCATGAATATTAACTTCCTGTACTTTGATAGGTTAATCCCCTGTGGATGAAGCTTGTCTTTGTTATTCTGACAAAAACATTGCTAGAATATTTCATCATTCTGCTGGAATCAACACTGACCAGGCGGCGGTCAAACCCTTTGTCGTCTTTGATGCAATTGGGCTGCAAGTCATTGAACAGATGTGCTGTGTACCGACAGAGATGACAGGCGTTCACACAATCCATGATCAACCGCTTGCCACCGACGCTCATTTCACTTTCTTTCTGATTTTTAGAGCTGTTTGTATTTTTGGAAACTGTGAATAAAGAGGTCTGTTGAACTTTATTATTCTTCATTGCTGATGTGTAGGTACAGTATGTCTGTATATTGTGTTGCTTTATTTTGTTGTAAGATTTAGATATGCAGAAGTCAAAACCTGTTTAGACGCGACAAATTGTTTTCAGAAAGGTTGGAAAATGGGAATAACTCTATTTTTGAAAGTGTAAAACATTCATTCTGTGTCTCCTTTGTATTTCAATTTTACTGTTTTATATTAGATATTAAAGAAATGAATCCAGCAATGCTTTATTTGTAGGTAGTGATTGGATCAGTAGAGTGTTAAAGATAACAATTAGTACATTTTCACAAATAGGTTCAGACAGAATTTTTTTTTGCTATCCATTGTGCTTTTTTCCCCATTGTAAACATGCACTAAATGGACATCTTTGACCGTTGTGCTTGCATCTTTTGCAGCGTCTCGATGACACTGTTCCAAAAAAAAAATAAAAAAAATATATATATATATATATATTGTTAATTCTACTGTCAAATAAACACAAAAGCACGTTTTATGTAAATGCCTCCTTAATGTGTTATCTTTTATTTATTTCGTTTTGTCCTTAGGGCTTCCGTTTGCCATAGAAGTCATTCATTTCAGGATCACACATTCCTGGAAATACCATGGAGTTTAAAAAGTGTAATTTCCAGGTCTGTAAAAGTCTTGGAAATTAATACAATATCATAAGATGATGGTAATTTCTATAGTCAAATTTTTCTAGTTATTCTGAGTTATGAATATTTCTTCAGTTAGAAATAACACTTTGTCTCAGTGACATTTTACAATATAATTCCATCTGTTAACATAGTTTACTATAATACATGAACTATCAGTAAAAACATTTGATAGTACATTAAAATCAAAAGTTGTATCCGTTAATAATAATTGACAACAAACTTGTATGTTTATTAACTACTGTTAACAAGTATTCAAAAAAAAAATGTATTCCTCATTGTTAATGTTAGTTTCTCACCAGTGGATCCTCTGCAGTGAATGGGTGCCGTCAGAATGAGAGCCCAAACAGCTGATAAAAACATCACAGTAATCCACACCACTCCAGTCCATCAATTAACATCTTGTGAAATAATAAGCTGCGTGTTTGAAAGAAACAAATCCATCAAGGCGTTTTAAACCATCAATTCTGGCTGAAAAATGTGGCCATATTCCAAAATAACGGTTCCTGCAGCGAAAACTCCATCCCTTGCTGTCCTCTCAAATCCACCAACATATTTCTTTAGAACTGTTTTGGACTGTTTTTACTTCTAAACAGTGCTTGATCTGTGCATATTTCTCTCCTGATTCAGATGAGACAACTTTTTTCACTGTAGAAAGCAATATTATTGATAGAGGACTTATATTTTAGCTGAAAGCAACAGTTTGAAGTAAAACATTTCTTTATGGATTTGTTTCTTACAAAGACACAACTTTTCACTTCACAAGCCATTAATTGATGGACTGGAGTGGTGTGGATCACTTGTGGATTATTGTGATGTTTTTATCAGCTGTTTGGACTCTCATTCTGACGGCACCCATTCACTGCAGAGCATCCATTGCTGAGCAAGTGATGGAATGCTTAATTTCTCCAAACCTGTTCTGACGAGGAAACAAACTCATCTACACGCCCTTATGGCGAGTACATTTTCAGCTGTTCAACTATTCCTTTAACTAATTGGACCTAATTTTAAAGTGTTTCTGTAGTCTCTATATGATGATTTAGAAAAAAAAAAAAACATCTAGTCATTATAAACAACTGGTAGTCATAGGACAAAAAATCTTTCTAAATTATTATTCACAAAGTATGAGAATACTATCACATCTGATACTGAAAATGTAAGTGTTACTTCAGTGGTGGAAATAGACAAAGGGAATATAAAAGTATTCACAATGAAAATATAACAACCAGTGACTGACTCCCAACCCTGCATGGCACATTCTGGATGGTTCCCTGAATTAAAACATACGATCCATATGATCAGCTTCACAGTAACTCTAGACAGGGGTGTCAAACCTTCAGCTGGAGGGCCACATTTCTGCAGACTTGAGCTTCAACCCTAATTAAACACGCAAGAGATTTTCAGCTGAAGGTCATCATGATTACTTCAATTACAGGAGTGTTGGAGTTAAACTCTGCAGACGTGGCCCTACAGGAGCAGCTTTTGACACTCCTGCTGAAGGGTCTTAACCAGGAGTCACATAATCCAAAATGAGCAATGCTGGGAAACTTCAGGACCAACACAGAACTAGTGAGTTGTACTACACTAATAGCTTTACTATTAAACCGACCAATGTCAAGTCAAATGTATTTGTATAACTCTTTACAATACATATTGTTACAAAGCAACTTTAAAGAAAATTGTTAATTTTTATAATATCTTCATGCCTTATATTCACAGTTAGAGCTGGGTGATAAAGTTCAAATTTTGGAGTTTTTTTTTTTTTTATTGTATGCGGATAAAGCTATATATCCTTTATATAAAGAGCTTGGTGATATGGTTACATTTTGTGACAAAATGAAAAATCAGGCACTTACGATTTTATACAAAGCTGTGCGGTAATACAGTTTTGTGATGATAAAACAATCAGGCAGACGAGATTTGCTATATAGTATCCTTTACGAAAATTAACCACGGTTTTACTACAAAAAAACAAAACATGATTACTATAGTTAAACCATGGTAACCCAAATTAACCATGGTTTTGCTAAACTAACCTTAGTTTAACCATGGTACAGTATAACTTTGGTTATGCAAATGGTAATCAATATGCCAAAAATCATGGTTAGTACACTTTTACTATAATAAAACCATGGTTAATTTTCATAAGCGATTTATTGTTTTACGTGAGTATATGCAAGTATAAAAAGATGTACTATCCAACTTTTCATGTTAGGGTGGAATGGGGGAAAATGCCCCCCTTAAGGACTGTAATTTTTATTTTTTTCTGTGAAAAAGTTAAATGTGTCCAGAATAGTCATTGACATAAATTCATTGACATAAATTATAAACCAAGTATGAAAATATGTTATTACATTTTTAACAAAAATTAAATTACCAAGGGGGCGTTTTACCCCACAGACTAGGTTTGAAAAAAAAATTGTCATTCTGTAAATATAATTATATATTTCTTAAATAATACAAACTCCCTAGGCCTTACTATTCTCATTTCATAAATAACTGTGATGTTCTACAAAACAACAAGCTTTAAAACACTTTTTTTCTTACTGCTGAACATTAGATCACTTGCTGTGAAATCTGTTTTCTCTCAGGTGCATCACCAGTGTAAGCTTCATGGTGAACACTTACAGCAAGTTACAACAAAAATTGATCTTGTCTTTATCTAGTCGTTATTTTGGGAAAAACGGGGGCGTTTTACCCCACTCTACCCTACAGTTTACATTTTTCGACGATAACAACCCAGCAGTTGATTTGCTATCTATCCGATAGGTTGGATATGCCTATAGTAGATGTATTCGATGTTCATTCGTATGTTACATTTTCACTAATAAAATCACATACATTGTCTTTAAAAGGACGTTAATCTTGATAGACCACTTTGCAAATTGCTATCGTTAGGCACTGATGAACACCTCAGGAGAAAAATTTAGGATGTATGTTCAGTGATAAACAGCAATAATCACCAACAAATCATAATTCTAAGCTCATTGTTCAGATTCCCTTTTATTTCCTGCAGATGGTCTTTGCTGCAAAGTAAATTGAGTTGGGACCGCTCAAAACTCTCCCAGTTCAGTCAAGCTGTCTTTACATTTACTCTGGCCAGTGAAACCACTGATACCTGGAGGGCTGATCTGGGTAGAGCAGCGGACTGACCTGCGCTCTGGACTGGAGCCATTAAAGGGGTCATATGATGCGATTTCAAGTTTATTTTCAGATAGTTGTATCTCGGCCAAATATCGTCCTATCATAACAAACCATACATCAATGGAAAGCTTATTTATTCAGCTTTCAGAGCAAAAAATTGACCCTTATGACTGGTTTTGTGGTCCAGGGTCATATCGTTAAAGGCAGTTTTCTCAAAACTCAAAACTTTTTCTCCTGCGCTGTGCTGGAAATCGATGGAAGCTTGTTTCCGTGAGTTTTCTCACAATTTAGACTTCTTTCTTGCAATTTAGAATTCTGAATCCATTTTTTTTTTTTCCATGGCAGAAACAAAAAATCTCAGAATTCAAAAAAAGTCAGAATTGCGAGATGTCGGGATTGTGAGAAAGAAAGTTTATATATTGCAGCTTGAACATTTTGTTCCTCAGAAATATGAGTTTATCTCTCACAATTCTGACGTTTGTGGCTGAATTGTGAGATAAAAAGTCACAATTTTTTTGACTTTAGATGGTTTTTTACATTTTTTATTCCATGGCAAAAAAAAAAAAAAAATA